CGGCGGCGGCAGCTGGAGAGACTGCAGGGCGAGCTGCACCTGGAGCGGCAGCAGAGAGAGAGGCAGGTGCTCACCTTCGCTCAGGAGCGACACACCTGGCAGGACGAGAAAGAGCGCGTGCTGAAGTACCAGGCGCAGCTGCAGCTCAGCTACGTGGAGACGCTGCAGAGGAACCAGGCGCTGGAGGAGCGGGTCGGCCAGCTCGGAGCCAAACTGGGCACCTCGCCCGGATCACCCGTCAGCCTCTCCATCCCCGTTCTGGTGACCCTCACTCTGTCCCCAACCTTTATCATCAATGTTGAAAACAGTTGTGCTGCCCAATATTTTTGTGGAAACTGTCATACATTATTCAGAAAGTTTAAAAGAACAGCATTACATCATAGATGTCCTTACTGTCTGTACCTATTCTGAATAAAAGTATTAATTTCTCTCTTTAAAAAAAAATTAAATAAAAAATGTTAAAAAGTACAGTAAATAGATTTAAAATGATAAAAATATAAATAAATAAATAAAAATCAAAATTTAAAAATAAATAAAAATCTTATTGTCCACAATATTTAGAATGGTATAAAATATTATGTAATAAGATATTAAATATGTAATATTATGTACATTTTATATTTGTCTCATTTATTAATTTATTGGCAAGTGTATTAATTTATGGTCAGCCACTGATTATAAAATAATAGCAAAATAAATTTTGGTTTGAAGATTTTTATTTGAAATAAAAATCTTTTGTAACATTATGTCTTTACTGTCACTTTTTTAAAATAAAAATAAAATCTTATTAATGACCTCAAATTTTTGAACATTGTATGCAAATATTGTATGGGAAAGAGCATCAAAAAATACTATTTTTTGGAGTGACCTTAGGGTGAATAAAAGTTCATTAAAGTTCATTTTTGGGTGGCATATTCTATAAACAAAAGAAAAAATAAAGCCATTCTTGGATCCTTGAAACACTAGCACTTTGAAGAACCATACTAGAACTTAATGGCAGCCTGGAGTCAGGCTGTAAAACTCTTCTTGAACCTTGTTTCCCGTTATGTAGCAAATGCTAAAATGATGGGAAACATAAAATGATAAAATTGTTGTGATATGATCATTAATGCTTCTGTTGTGGTGTTTTGATTGCAGTTCCAGCAGATGTCAGAACATGCTCTCTTCTCCTGCTCGGTGGTGGATGTGTTCACGCAGCTCAACCAAAGCTTTGAGATCATTAAGAAGCTGGAGTGTCCAAACCCTCAAGCTCTCGCTCACTTCATGCGCAGGTTTGCAAAGGTAAGACAGAATCCAAAGAGAAAGGAAGTCACTTGAGGCTGTGCATTGGAGGTTTTGCCACGCACTTTAAAAAATCTATAAAATCTAACCCTAAAAATGTAAACTCACAATCTGTGGTGGTATGATGAAAGATACCAGTGTTCAATAAAGAATTGCATGTGTTAACAATAATAATCACAATAAACGGTTGTTCCGCCAGGCAGTATTACTCTAACTGTAGGGTGTCATATGGTTGCCAGGCAGCTGAGAGCATAAAATGATGAACAAATGATGGAGAAGAGCTTTGAAACAGAAAAATCCAGACCTGCATTGCCTGAAAGCACTGTAGTGTTGCTAAAAAAAAAAGTTTGGGGTTGGTATGATTTTTTAAAATGTTTTTAAAAGATGTCTAGTTGCATTTATTTGATCAAAAATACAGTAAAATTGTGAAATATTTTTACAATTTAAAATAGCTGTTTTCTATGTAAATATATGTTCAAATATAATTTATTTCTGATGCGCAGCTGTATTTTCAGCATCATTACTCCAGTCTTCAGTGTCACATAATCCTTCAGAAATCATTCTAATATACTGATTTGCTGCACAACAAACATTTCTGATTATTAGCAGTGTTGAAAACAGTTGTGCTGCTTCAATTTTGTTGTGGAAACCATGATGCATTTTATTTTTCAGGATTCACAGATGAAATAGAAACTTTTAGAACATTATAAATGTTTTTACTGTCCCTTTTTAATTCACTTTTCATCCTTTCTGAATAAAAGTATTAATTTATTTTAAAATATATATATATATATATTACTGACCTCAAACCATGGCTTATTTATCCACCTTATTCCTCACGTAAAAATGCAAATTGGTGTGTCTTACCATATTATTTTAGTGTATTTTCTGAATGATGAACACACTGGTTTGTATTGCAAACAGATTTACCGTTTACTGCACGTTGTTATTCTTCTCGTTATTTCCCTAGAGGCTAATGAACCAGAAGTCTCACCCATAGGCTTACTTCTGCATTTGGGAATAAGGTGGATAAGGTGTCTTTGAATATTAGTAGTATTTTAACATCAAGCATTGCATGCTTCAACTTCCAGGAATTAATTGAAATCATCAGGTGCAAGTGTTTACCTACTCTTTACAGTGATTTACAGCAATGAAAAGCTCATCAGCTCTAGCAGGCAGTGACAGGGTTCGGATAAAAGGCTAAGGATGGATTTAATGAAGGTTTAGAGCAGTTTACACTGAGTGGATAAACCTCCTTGATTTACTAAACATCACACTGTGTGTGTATGAGAGCGTTTTGTTTGAGCGGCTGCATGTAGAAGGCTAACAGGAACATTTGAGATTGATGGTAAATCATTGATGCCAGAGCCGAATGTTTGATCAGATATACAGACCTCCTCAGTTCAGCTTAGACACAGAGTGCTTTATTGGTGACTGTTTCCATACAGTATAGTCAGCATATTTGATCAGTACAAAAACTGAAACAATTAGGAAAAATAATAATGTGTCATTCCATCAGTGTCTCAGCAATATAAGTATAATAATTAAAGGAATAGCTGAATGGGTGCCGTCAGAATGAGAGTCCAAACAGCTGATAAAAACATCACATTCAGCTTTTGTCTTCTCCAGATGTTAACTGATGGACTGGAGTGCTGTGGATTACTTGTGGATTATTGTGATGTTTTTATCAGCTGTTTGGACTCTCATTCTGACGGCACCCATTCAGCTATTCCTTTAATTATTATACTTATATATTATAACATTTATATATTAACACGTTTTTAGCCAAGATGTTAGAGGTTTGATAACGTCGCTAAACCTTTTAGCAATAGCAATAGTAATGGTTAACTTTGAAAACACCACAAATGAACACATCAACTCAAACAGCTTATGAAAACAGTGATCATGCGATTATATGTGTACTCACTCATTCAAACACATAGCAGATTTTATAAGAGATTTTAGGCCAGCTAATGTATAATGCCAGCTATTGTGAATGCAAATGAACTGCATAGGGCAGAGAGAGAGAGAGAGAGAGAGAGAGAGAGGGGCGCTCATCCCACAGGATTATGGGTAAAGGGTCTTGTATGAGGCATTGATTACTTCATGCAAACTTGACACGAGAAATCTATTACGGCGGCCTTACAAGACGCATATCATTACTGCCCTCATTTACTTATTTACATATTTATGAATATGTTAAGAGCTTTATTCTATTTCCTTGGCTCCAGGTTACTAATCTCAAAGTTCCCGAACTGTTTTGATGGATGCAAGCACACACATCGTCACATGGGCTGCAATTGTGTTAGTATTAAAAAGTCTTTTTTTTTTAAGAAATTAATATTTTTATCCAGCAAGGAAGCATTAAATTGATCAAAAGTGACAGTAAAGACATTTATAATGTTACAAAAGATTTCCATTTCAAATAAATGCTGTTCTTTTGAACTTTCTATTCATCAAAGAATCCTGAAAAAATCACTTTTTACGCAAAAAACATTAAGTATTAAAACATTGAAATGATACAATTATTAAATTAAAAATATAATAAATATTTTTTCAACATTGAAATAATCAGAAATGTTTCTTGAGCAGCAAATCAGCATATTAGAATGATTTCTGAAGATCATGTGACACTGAAGACTGGAGTAATGATGCTGAAAATACAGCTTTGAATCAAAGGAATAAATTACATTTGAACATATACGCATATAAAAAACACTTATTTTAAATTATAATAATCTTTAACATTTTTTTTACTGTATTTTCGATCAGATAAATGCTTAGTGACCCCAAACTTTTGACTGGTATGAATGCATATGTGTTTTAGGTCTATAAATAATAACAGTAATACAAACTCAACTTATGGCTTCTATAAAATTCAACTACTGTGTTTTATAATATATGGTAATAATAATAATTTAATTTAATAATTTATGCATTTAGCAGACGCTTTTATCCAAAGCGACTTACAGTGCATTCAGGATATAAATTTTTTGCCGGTATGTAATAAGCTATAAGTTATAATATAATAATGCTATGAATTTGATCGCAACATATAATCATTGCTGTTAATAGTGTTCACCGTCTGTTTGATTACAAGATGATGCCAACCCCTCAGAAGACCTCAGATGATGCCAACCCTCAGACAACATGCAAAACTACCAGATTTTGCTATAAGTTTGATCGCAACATATAATCATTGCTGTTAATAGTGTTCACCGTCTGTTTGATTACATGTCATTAACTAACTGCTTAATTTTTACTTTAATTTTCTGTAAAGCTGCTTTGCAACGATTTGCATCGTGAAAAGCGCTATACAAATCAACTTGACCTGAATTGAATTGAATAATAATCCACATTTTATTCTCTTTCCAGACCATAAATAAAGTTCTTCTCCAGTATGCTGTGATCATCTCTAAAGACTTCAACAACCATCTGAGCAAAGAGAAAGTGGTGAGTCTATGAACTTCCTACACACACTCTCTCACACACACACACACACACACACACACACAAATCTGCTTTGTCATAAAATGTCTTCGTGTTTTAAAGTCATGACCCTGCGAATGTGGCTTGATCAGATTATAACGGCTTTGATTGGACGGCTTGCAGATGCTTCCTTCGTTTCTAACAAATAACTTGCGAGACCTTCTCGCGTCCTCGTCTCCTTCCTCTGTGCTTTCAACTTTATGCTCTTTGTGCAAAATGACATGATTCGCGGCGCTAACTCAGAGCTGCTTTTGTTCTACCTCAAATTTTCACAGTGTCTTCCTTTAATGATTATAAAAGCTTGACACGCAGGACGTCTGCGGCGGGAAGAAAGACAGATGTATCTTTTAAGTGCCGTGACAGGACCACAGAGAGACAATGACGTGGCCGGTAATTAAAGACATATCTCTGTTCGGTCTCGGAGGACAGAGCCGCTCCTCGGGGCTCATCCGTCGCTTAATTGACAGCTCGGCTCATCCTAAGAATATCTACATCTTTAAACGCACCGATGCCCATAATCAGCTCACCGGAGTTTATATACATTGTCTTGAATTAAATTTATGAGTGTGTGAAATCAGCCGCTCTCGTCACAGAGACGATGTTCCCTCGTTTCAATTAGTGCGACGGCTTCGTATTTTGGTTTCAGAGCTATTTGTCACACAGCTGACATGTGACCTTTAGGAAGTGTGTCGGTGCAGACAGTAAGAGCCCGTTTTAATTAGCTTATGGACTCCTGCGCTAATTACGCACTCCTACCCATCCAATTAACTCATGGGACGCTTATACAAGAGCGTTATGACTGCCGGATCTCTAGTTCATCTGTGTGTCAACACAAATCTGCTTCTTTAACATTTACTGGAACAGACACTATTTACCCAAAGTGCATTGCGTCTCAGGAACCCCGGGGTCAGTCGCTTCTCTGTCACACTGAGTCTGAAGGTCATCTTAAACCTTAGTTTACCATCAGTCCGATTATTGAGTTTGATGTTTTTATAACCTTTTTCAATTACAGATGTCATTCTACACATAAAATAACATGCTTTTAATGTATTTGGGAGGTGGTTTTAAAGATATTCATACTGTACGTTTTATTGCATTCTTTTCTTTTGTTTTTCCCCAAAATAAATAAATAATAATAATAACATTTTGTCTATTTTAATAATAATAATAATAATAAGTATCATCATTATATTATTTATATGACATTTTTTTATATTTTTTTCTAATGTAGTCTAATGCATTATTTAAATTTTTTAAATATGTTTCCCCAAAATAATAACAAATAAATAAACAATAATAAGTATAATCATTATTGTATTATTTATATTATATTTTTATTATTTTATTTTTCTAATGCATTCTATTAATTTGTTTATCTGCCAAAATCATAAAAATAAATAATGCATAATTTTATAACAAGAACAACAATAATACTATAATAATAGTAAATGTTATTTACATTTTTGTTTATTCTATCCATCCATCCATCCATCCATCTTTTGTTATATATTGAGAATTTATGAATATTATATTGATCTATAATGAAAACATGCAATGCATTAGAATTCAAATGTATTAAATTGTGCATTAGGGCAACCTGTCAGATGCATTAATAACTATTATGATTATGACTATTAACTAATATAATAACTATTACAGTGTAACAAAATACAGCTGACTTTAAATATTATTAGATACAAGGAAACATTATGCTTTAATAAGAAAACAGTTGCTCTGCATTAATTTAATGTATTTTCAAAAGGAAATTAGTGTTTAAATACAACTCAGTTGTGTTCCGTTGTGTAAATCTGCCATTTCTCTGAAGATGCGGAGGCATAGATTTCTGTGTAATGAAATTCAGATTTCCTGCCACTGATGAAAGTAAGATGTGCAAAATCAACGATCAGCATCCAGACGAATCGATGCCCTGTGTATATATTCACAGAAGTCTTCTAGTACAGACGTCTCCTTGCATTAGCCAGGCGGAGGGTTTTGAAAACTATCTGGAAAGCAGTACAATCGATCAGTCATGAAATATCTTGTCTATCTTTCTTCTCCTGACAGTCCTGCATCCTCTTGAACAACATCCAGCAGCTCCGAGTTCAGCTGGAGAAGATGTTCGAGTCCATGGGAGGAAAACAGGTTAGTAATCTAATCAATGTCTCTGAAGACTCCACAGCAATGTTTCCCACTAACTGTCTGTGTGAGTGAAGCTGTTGAACGTCCCTTACTGTAAAGCTGCATTCATGAATGTCTGAATTACCGTAATTATGAGTCTGATTAGTTGCAACTAGAAGGTCCAAGAAGTTCCAGCTTCTTCCTCTTGACATCAGGCTTCGGCAGCTACAGCTGGTTAGTTTCCTACATCAACACATCCTTCCTGATGATTTATATGTCACTGGTTAGTCAAGAGTTACCTGGAGCGCTTTTTCTGTGTTTCTTCAAGATTAGAATGTCAAGATTCTGGTTCCGATTCTAATTCAGTTTAGTCCTTTATATCAGTCTAATTGCTTTATGATTTCATCAATAGCTATGTTTGCATCCACCTATTTTTATGCGCATTTTGGATTATCGCATAAAAAAAATGCTGGATGGAAACGCCAAGATGCGCATAAATTCTAAAAATAAGTATTTTTATGCGCACAACTGAGTAGGATAAACTTTTTATCCGATAAGAAAAAATTTGCATAAACTACGATGGAAACACATTTACCGAATAAATTCCACCATGTGCATTGAAAAAGTCATGTGACTGCGCTATGAGACGGGATAAATTGACTAACCAGCGGACCGATCTCGTTTCAATGCATCTATATGTTGTTTTGGTCGTTCTGAAATGCCTGAGGAAAGTCTGTCATCAAAGTATTTCTGTATAATTACTGTCTGACACGACTGCGTTCCCAAACAGCAGTAATACCTGCATTTATTGTGTTACGTCTGCTCTCTCTGAAGCGCAAGTAATTTATTACATATGCAAATTATTATATTCAGTGGCTTCTCCTAGTTTTCTTAGAGATATTTAGTGCCAGTTTATCAGGAAGTGACGATTTTGTTCTCTTTGACTCGTTGGAAGGAAACTGTGCTTTATTCGCAAATGTTTTATGCGATATTCCAGTTTTGTGCATAAGTTAAATTTGCATCTTTGGATGGAAACATAGCTAATGACTCTTTCAGTACTTAAAGATTAATTAGGCCTAATTATATACTTAACAAATACACTAAACAAAAACAGTACTGTTTTTGCTAACATTTATTTTATCTTATTTATTATTTTATTTTAAATAAACAAAAAAATACATTATTGTTTTTGGTAACTATTTTATTTTTTATATTTTATATTTTATTTCTCATTTATTTCATGTGTATCTTTAGATGTTCACTGAACCGCCAGTTGGAAATTACAAATTACATTAATTGTCAAAAAAATACAGTAACAATAAATAATTATCATTTCAGTAATTTGGGTTAATATTTTATTTGAGTTTTACATGACAGAAGTAATGATTTGTAATAATCATAAAATAAAAGCAATACTGCTGTAACACTTTATTTTATTATTTCATTTTATTAAAAAAAAAGAATCAATTTATTTGGACAAAAATGTGAATATGTATCCTAATCTATATGTTCTCTAAACAGCCAGTCAGAAATTACACACTTCTCATAAAATACAGTAACAATCAATAATTATAATTTTAATAAGTATTTGAGTAGTTTGACAAAAGTAATGATTTATAATGATTACTTCTCTGAGTGATTCAGTAATTCAGTGTGAATTGTTAGAATTATTGAAACCAATATGAGTTGAGACAGATTTTTAATCTTTTACTTTTATTAAATACAGCAAATCCATTATGTTGAAATGTTTTTGTTGTTTCCATCCAGAGCAGACAGTGCAATAAAAATACATGCTGTCTATTTATATTATTAGTATTGTTTTGCCTCATCCAGTCTTTCTTTCTAATCTCATTACTGCTGCAAACACTTTTGTATTTTAGCACAGTGTTTGTTTAGCATTGGCAGTAAAGAACTGTTCATGAAGCTTTTAAGGAATAGTTCACCCAAAAATGATCATTTGGTGTACATATACTCACCCTCAGGACATCCAAGATTAGGATGAGTTTGTTTCTTCATCAGATTTGGAGAAATGTACACTGCATCAGTGTCTCAGCAATGGATGCTCTGCAGTGAATGGGTGCCGTCAGACACGCCCCCCATTCACTGAAGAGCATCCATTGCTGAGACACTGATGCAATGCTACATTTCTGATGAAGAAACAAACTCATCTACATCTTGCATGGCCTGACGGTGAGCACATTTCCAGCAAATTTGAATTTTTGGGTGAACTACTCCTTTAAGAGAACCGTGAAAATCATTTCATTAATTAAAAAATGGAAATGATTCTCCATCCCCCAAACCTATTCAAGATTAGCCACACATGCTAACATGTATATATATATATATATATATATATATATATGTGTGTGTGTTTGTTTGTTTGTATGTATGTGTGTGTGTGTGTGTATGTATATATGTATATGTATTATGTATGTATGTGTGTGTATATATATATATATATATATATACACACCTTGCTACGTGTACTGTGTTAGGCTAACCGAGACTTGTCATTTGCACTTATATATTGTTGCTTTTTTGTTAGTTTTGACTGCTTTTATTGTCCTCATTTGTACGTCGCTTTGGATAAAAGCGTCTGCTAAATTACTAAATAAAATAAATAAACATGCATGGATCCATTTGACATCCAGTGTTGCCATAGAAACAAATGATTCCGAATGATTCGAGATTAGAGCAGAATCTCAGAGTAGCCTCATAATTACGGTAAATCTGCATGATGTGAACGCAACTTAACGTCCCGTGTGAATTGTGCATGCGTGTTGTGATTCTTCTCTCTGTTCTCTCCAACTATGACAATGTCCTTGTTTCTTGTCGTTCCCGTCTCCTCTGGGCTCTTGCACCAGGAGGAAGGGACTGTGGTCTTCTGCAAGGTGTGTGGACAGGTTTCCTTTAACATCTCTATACACCGCTGCTCTACAGCCAGAATTCTGTCATCATTTACTCATCCTCGTGTCGTTCCAAACCTGTAAGCTCATGTACTTTCTGGCTTTCTGTTTGGAGCAACATTAAATGACAGCAAATGATGACACTGCTCTCTGGTTGTTAATTCTGGCTGTAGTGTACGGTCCTAATTCATCCCGGTTGAGCGGTTTAACTGGACACGTTTGAGCAGCACGAGCACCCATTGAAACGCCTCACTTCCTATCTCTCGTACTTCCTGTCCCGGCCCCTCAAGAGCATGCTGCACCTGCTCGAGTTTCCTGGCATGAAACCTCACAAGGACGATTATCTTCAATAACTGAGGCTGCTAACACTCAATGTTTAAGGGGTTGTTCAGCCAAAATTGAAACATTATTTATTCACCTTAATGCACTCACATAAATATTTAGGCCTAAATTTAAGATTTATGTATTTGAATTGCATATAAATGTGTTTGCATGTGTGTGTGTGTGTGTGTGTGTGTGTGTGTGTGTGTGTGTGTGTGTG